GCTGGCTGGCTGGCTGGCTGGCTGGCTGGCTGGCCTGCTGGCTGGTTGGTTGGTTGGTTGGTTGGTTGGTTGGTTGGTTGGTTGGTTGGTTGGCTGGCTGGCTGGCTGGCTGGCTGGCTGGCTGGCTGGCTGGCTGGCTGGTTGGTTGGTTGGTTGGTTGGTTGGTTGGTTGGTTGGTTGGTTGGTTAGTTGGTTGGTTGTTTGGTTGTTTGGTTGTTTGTTTGTTTGGTTGGTTGTTTGGTTGTTTGTGTGCATTTTTGTTGTTGTTTAAAAATGGTCATGTTTATGTATGAATGCTTATATATGATTGATCATGGATGTGTGTCCGTCACTTAAGCTGACGTCAATTATTGAAGTGACAAACAAAAATAAATGAATCTAGGTGCGTTGCTGGTTGTGTTGGTCTGTTCAACAACGTTCGTCATCGGAATGATCGTCGTACTTGTCGGTGCGGCCCTACTCAAGAAGTTTGTTGTTGTGTGATGTTACATGTTGTTGTTGTGTGACATCATGTGTTGTTGTGTGATTTTACATGTTGTTGTTGTTGTTGTGATGTTACATGTTGTTGTTGTGTGACATCATGTGTTGTTGTGTGATGTTACATATTGTTGTTGTGTGACATCATGTGTTGTTGTGTGATGTTACATATTGTTGTTGTGTGACATCATGTGTTGTTGTGTGATGTTACATATTGTTGTTGTGTGACATCATGTGTTGTTGTGTGATGTTACATGTTGTTGTTGTGTGGTCATGTTGTAACCGCTAACTAACTAACCATCCCAACAATGAAAAGACACGAGTAACATTTCTGTGTCATGTCTTGCTATAAAGTTATGTCACGTGACATCCTAAGTTGACGTTGAATGTTTCATGGCGTTCGTTTAATTTCAACTCTTACATCTAGTCATCCAGAGAATATTCTAATTTCCTTCTTGCGTGTGTCCCGCAAAAAATGTACAAATTGTTGGCTGCAGTTAACCTATCTGTAGATAATAATGAATGAATGGATTGATTCGCATTGAGTTGCTTACATGAATATAACTTGTTCTTTTTGTTTATAGATGTTCACAAGTGTCTTGTGGTATTTTTTGGGAAAAATAATTTTTAAGCGTACAAATAAAATTAGTAAAAATCTCGATAAACTTCAACAAAACAACCGATGAATTTTTAAAATAAAATTTAGCCTTTAAAAAGAAAATATAAAAAATTGCAACATTTCTGAGCAACCATGAAGAGTATTGAAGGCCAAAAATGTTCAATTTCTGACATCTTGCTAAGGCTTAAGACATGACGAATGCATGTGAGGCACGCTATTAATAATGCATCATCCAGGTGGCCGAAGTCTTCCCACTCCTTCCTGCTCCCATCGTCGCAGCATCCCAACAACAACAACATCATCACATCAACGTTAAGCAGCAACAACACTAACAACACTAATAACAACAAAACCAGCAATTCAACTTTACGCAAAGAAACAATAGTTACATACGGGATGACCGGGAGTAGCGATTTAATATCATTGGGATTTGATCACGTGATTTTGCAAACGTTTGCCTGTGATAAATGCTGCTGCGAATATTGTTCTCCAAACAAATACAACACCTGTTGCCATTCAAAATCCATAAAACATCAACAACAACAAAGTCAGCAGCAACAGCAATTACAACAACTACGGTTGAAGCAACAACAACTCTCCTACAAACAACACTTTATTATGACTGAGTTTCCAACTATATTAGCCAACAACGACAGCATCAACACTGACAACAACAACAACAACAACAACATCGACGACAACATCGCCACAAATGTCGCTAGTGGTAACAGCAGGAAAAAAAACAAACACAACTGGAACGCCATATTTTACGATATAAACGTCACGTCTGATGGTAACGACGCTACTACATTCATCAACAACACCCAAAACGACAATAACTGCTGCAACAGCAATCACAACAACTACAACAAAGACAACAACAATCTTAACAACAATTTCAACATAAACGACAACAGTGTCAAAAATGCTCAAGAAGATATGGTAAAGAATGCAAATTGCGGCTTTCACAAAGCACCTAGTTTGAATAACATTGAGAAGAACATTTGTACAAACAACGATCACAAAAGAAGCAACAACAACATAAACAACAAGCTGGTGGCAGATTGTGCTGATTTTTATTCGTCATCGAAAGAAACGATTGTTGCTAATTGTTGTTGTGAACTGCACCCAGCAACAACAACAACAGCAACAATAGATTTCGATGACGAGCAACAACACCAACAAGAAATGATACTAAAAGAAAATATGAAAAACAGCAAAATGCTACTTGTTAGTATGGTAAAACAGGCTACAGAAGGTAACGATCATTCAACTGAACATTTCTTCAACAAATTCAACAACACTTCAATCGGCGACACTTTTGACGATAACAACAACACAATAAACCACAACAGCAGAATCAGAATGGACGCCATAGCGAGCAGCGGCAGTCTCTCAACGAACCCCGACACACCGTAACAAACCTGATCTCAACTCTCAACACAAACACTACCTAACAACTATTTAGACGGAATCATTCACCGGCAAATCTATTAATATTTATCTTTCAGAAATTGCACGTTGGTGGGTGCTGAAAAATGGTGAAAAATGCCACGCTAACATTCTAACACGCTACTGTAACACCCACCCACAACTCATCTCCAAATGATATCCAATCTAAAATAAATATTTTTTGGATTTTTAAAATGTTGCTAAAATAATTTGCTTAATACTAAATTAATTTTTGGAATTTCAAAATGTTACTTTACCATTTTTCCAACAACAATAAAAGTAATAATAATAACTATCATAAATACTGACATTACAATTGAGATGGTAAATTTATAATATTAATTACTTTTATAGTTATAATAAACAATAATTACTGTTATAATAATTATAAATATTATAATTATCATTGGGATGGTATATTTGAATTATTCATCCGTATACTAATTGTTTGACTCATTTCGGCATGGTTCTTGAAAACCAATCAGTTAACCGATGTTTCAGTTTTTCGCTGACTACTTCACCCCTCTTTTCGACAACTTCTCCGTTCGCTTTCTATAAATTTTATTCTGAAGTTCTCATAAAAAAAAAATAACAAAAACACGAACGAATTTTTTTTAGAAAAAAGAAAAAATCACACACAAATGCAACCATAAATAAATTAAGTTTAAGTTTCTTTTGCTACAATACAAACGCATTAAACGTTACAAATCTTGAAAACAAATTAATTAAATATCAAAGTGATGTAAATAAGTTAGAAATTTTTACGAGTTGGATCGGAAAGCAGGATGCAAGTTTGGCGAAGATCTGTACATGGCGACTACAACATTTGACGCTGTTGTAGTTGTGGTGGATTTGACTGTGGTGGTTTGTGGTTATTATTATTACGATGATGATGATGAGTATTTATATAGCGCTCGTGACAGTTGGTTTTGGTTGTTGCTGTCGTTTTGTAGTTGCTGTTGTTGTGTTTGTATTTTTGTGTTAGATGATGTTTCTTAAAGTGGGGGATGATGACGAGGAAGACGACGAATGAGGTGGTAGCGATGATGACGGAGAAAACGGAGAGGATGGTGGTGTTGGTTGAGTTTTTGTTTGAATTCTGGCTGGAGGAGAAGGTTTCTGACTTGATAATGTGAGTAATGGTGATGATGATTTTGATTGTGAGGAAGACGACGACGGCATATTTACTGCTGGAAAAGATGTGGCAAGAGACGAAAAAAATGAAGAAGATGACGACGGCCAATGACATTCAGTTGTATCAATTTTCAGTGTCTCAGGAGCGACACTTCTCTGACGTTCATCAATTGATGACTTCATTTCGAGGTACGACTGTGATGACGACGGCGATACGGTTGATGACGATGAAAAAGTTGGAATCGATGGTTGCTGCATTGTGAATGATATCGCGGTGGTTGGTTGTGGAACGTCCGCAACAACGTCAGTATCAACCGGCGTTCCCTCGCCAGAGAACTCTTCTACCAGCATTTTGTAAATCTTTAAATTTTGAAGATTGGGACTTTCATCATCGTCGTCCTCATCATCAAAGTCGATGTCGTCGATGTTGAACGTGGAAGGAAGAGGTGTGGCGATGTCTCTGCGACGACCGCTGCCTCGTCTCTTCTGTTGATCCATCTGACCGATATGCTGCTGTAACAGGCGGTCGTCTAGCATCCTACCCTGTCGTACTTTGTTCTCAACTGTCAGTGAGCAGCTTCTTCGCCTCCTGGTCTCCTGTAGGACAAACGTCGTATTCAATGCAACTGCTAATTAAAAATTTTATCTCAATAAATAAAAATTTAATAAATTAGTTATTAATCCCAGCAGTCCAGGTCTCATTGATTAATTTATTTCAATAAATTGAAATTATCTAATCAGTGAAGGAACGTAAATTGAAAATTTTCGAAAAAAAACTATCTGCCAGTGTTGCACATCTCGATTCAGGTTGATGAGGTAGTTGGTTCCAAAAGTCATGGACGTGCAACCATCAATTCAAACAGAAACTGGTTTATCGGGGACATAAATCAGTCGAAAGAGACAAGAAATTAGCGCAAAGTTGAACGTGAGGCAGTCCATACCATCCAGAACAGATCGCCGCTGCAATCTTATCGATGCAATCATCTCCGTGGACAGGGTGGACACTCAATTATGAAAGTTGCAAAAATATTAGCAGCCGTCTGCCTGTTCGTTCCTTGCCGTCGTTGTCTGCGTGTGCTGCTCTGTTTATGGCGCATCAAATTATTTGTTGTCATTGCGTTGCGTGTTGTCGCGCGACTAGTTGTGGTGAGGTGTTGCAACGATTATTTGATTTTGTGTTGTGTTATGTTACAGTATCTTGATAGAGTGTGTTGTTGCGTTACGATGTTGTTGCGCGTGAGTGCATCTGAGTTGTTGTGTGGAGTTGTGACGTAACGTAGCTGTCGTGTTTCAATCAGTTCTTTTGTAAGCGTTTTGGTGAGTTACTTGTTTGTTATCGCGAGATAACTTTTTGATAATATATTGTCGTGATAGTATGTTAAGCGTTGTTGTGGTTGTTGCAACATGTTGTTCTTGCGCTGTATTGAATAGTTGTCGTGTGTAATTTTAACGTTTTGATGGAAGATGTATGAATGTGTGGTTGCAATGTGGTGCGGCAAAGTGTTGTTTTGTATGGAACATCAAAATGTGCGTGTTGTGCGTGTGTTGTTTCAATTTTATCGAGCAGAAATATAAACTTGTTTTAACGTGTTTTTGTTTTGTTACTGTGAAGTGATGAGATGAAACGCCTTCGTATTGGCAAATCTCAAGCCTCAAAATTTATGAGTTATGTGAGATTTAAGATTTGTTCGTTCGAAAAGCTATTCAATTCTATCATATGTTATTAAAAATTATTTGACTATTTATATTTTCATACTATATATATGTAATATATAATATATATAAAAAGATATATATATATATATATATATATATATATATATATATATATACATGTATAGAATAAAAGAATTGATGAATTCAATATATTAAATGGCGTCAGATTTAACGTTATTAAGCGTTAAGAGCGTGATTACATCATTAGTTTAAAGGAGAGTTGTTGGGTCGGAACATCCATCCATCCATCCTACATCCATCTATTCATCAATCCATCCCCCCATCCATCTATCCATCCATCCATTCACTCATTCATCCATCCATCCATCTATCTATCTATCTATCTATCCATTCATCCATCTATCCATCCATCCTGCATCACTGTTATGCCTGATTATGCCTGCATGCCATTCACACGCGCACGCGCACACACACCCACAAACACACACACACACACACCTACTACAATGCCATCTATCACGTTTTACAATCTATCATCTGTTTGAGTGTTGTTTGCATTCTTATTTTCAGTGCGATCTATTCTATATTATTCATTACATCATTAAACACTTTACCGGCTTGATAGTCATTCAGTCGCTGGCTGCAAATACCGTGATGTAGCAACCGCATGGTACCAACATTTCGAAACTTCGAATCACCGGACAGAAAAGTTGTAAGTAGTAAAAGAGCTTTTCGAAAGTTTTTGTTGTAACAAAATGTTGCTACTGAGGCAGAGAAAGCATGATGGTTAGTTAAGCAGAAAAGAAAACAATGAAAAATGAAAGAGCGTAAGCCGAACAGTGTTTTAAACAACAAGAGTTATTTAAAAACCTAATTATAACCGTAAAAAGAAGGCATTTTGTATGAGACATTTGCATGATTGATACATGCGGTTACGTGTTAGTGCAGGCAAGTCACTAATGATAGAAGCAAGTCGTTGAATGAAGCTTCTTGCTCAAGTCGCATATTTTCAACATTTAAATTAATATAATTGTTTGATCTGAGTGAGGATATTTTGCGCAATTGTTTTACAAGGATTTAAGAAGCATACTCGCTTCAAGTGATGCTGCTCATGCACGATGTTATTAATACAAGGGACTTGAAATAGACGTGGCTAATGCGCCAGGCTATGCATGAAAGTTAGTCGAACTTAAAAACTGTTATAATCAGATCGGCGGAAAGATCCAAAATAAAAATGATAACAATAATGACGAAAGTGTCACTAAACATTTTATGAAATCATGGACACGCACATGGGCACACTAATTCACTTTATAATTGCGTTGCCACCAGCGAACAAATGAATAAAAAGTGTTAGGAAATATTTATGAAACAGTTAAAAATGCTTATCGTAATTACATCTAGATGAGGCTAACCAAATCGTGCATGTTTCATCAACTTTTTGCAAAAGCAGGCAGCAGAGCTCAATTTGATGGATCACTCAATCTCCAATTAATTACAAAATATTAATACGAATTATTTTATTTCTCATATTTTAATATAGAACGAGGGTAGGTGTAAACTGTTTGTAATTACGTCGCAAACAGAAGAAAAAATTCATACAACACTGAGCCACGTTTGAAAAATATGAAAACTAATTTGGCAAATTTGAAAAGCAAAACGTGATTTTGAAGTGACTCGCGTTGCTGACATCTTATTATTGCATTAATAATTTAGAGAAAACTGTTTCAATAACTTTTTCAAACTTCTGGATCAAAATGCCCAGCTCAGCGAGATCTTATATATTGAAAATTATTTTCCAAATACTTTTGAATACAGTTTTAAATATTTTACTTACGGTAAAACATGGACGACAGATTGTGATGTGAGCTGAAAAAAAAATCAATCAATCAATCAATCAATCAATCAATCAATCAATCAATCAATCAATCGATCGATCGATCGATCAATTAATTTCTCAAGCGCTACTTCCGCGATGTTCAACAGCGCCCCTCAGTGAATGCTGCAAACGGATAAGTCTTCAGATCTGCTCTGAATTTCGCAAGTGATGGAGAAATAGTTAGAGAAGGAGGTAGAGAGTTTCAAAGAAAAGGGCCAACAAAAGCAAACGCAGATTTAGCATAGGAGTGTTTAACAGGAGTTAAGAAATGAGTACAAGAAGACGATCGTAAACTGGGGTGATTAGGTTAAATTAATATATCTGATGATAGGTACCTAGCAAATAATTTAGATTGACATGTTAACCAACTAACATTTAAAATAATACTTTTTTTAAATATATTTCGTCACTTCATACTTTACAAAAAACTGTTGCTTAGTTGAGAAAACATTTTGAAATACATGCAAAATTTTTTCGTTTAAAACAACATGAATACTGAATGTAGTTAGTAAATAGAAACTCGATACAAACATTGTATTCTAGAGCAGCAGCGTTATTCACCCAATGTTGAGCGCAGAACTGATCACTAATGCACCTCAACATGATGGCAACTTTCTGCTCCAAGATATATGGACATGAGTACGTTCTCAGGGACTTGTTTCTGGCTTGCTGGCTAAAATCTGGATAACTGGGAGTTCGGGAATTCGGATCCCATTCATCAGAAACCCGTTCCTTCTCTGAGGTAGATTGTTTAGAAGAAACATTGTTACGGCGAGAGACTGCACACCTGCTGCCCTGAGGAGGGTGTCGAAGGACCACAGCAGGCGAGTTCGACGTACCTGGATCGTCCTGTGTCGTCTGTGTCCGTTGTGAAGATTGTTGTGGTTGTTGTTGTGATACGTTCCTTTTGTTTTCATTTTGTGGTTTGTTAATCACCTTCTGTTGTTCTGCCATCCTCTAAAAGTTGGAGTTTTTTGGTTCACCAAGGTTCAACCAAAGCAAAGAGTGTGGTAGTATTTATTTTATAATTTCATAAACTCAACAGTTCAACGTGTTTCACAAATAAATATTTTATTATAACGGTACAGTACTCTGTGCATAATAAAAAATCATAATTATATTTGTGTTTGCTGACGCGTTCGTATTGAAAATAACAAAGAAACCTCGTACGTAACTATACAAATAAGTGAGATAGCAGCTATTCACACCTTGCTGATATAATACAGAATACATTCATTCGCTGTTTCAGTTGGAACGTCAAACATTTATAAATAGTAACTAATTATGATATGCAAACTAACGAACAAATGCATGCGTTATATTTATTGCAGTTGTACGTTATACACAGCTGTGACATTATAAATATTAATTATTAATAATTATGAATGCATAATTTATCATGCATTTGAATGTAAATATGAACAGGTAACGTGTGTGTGTGTGTATGTGTGTGTGCGTGTTTGTGTGCGTCTTTGCGTGCATGCGTGCGCGTGTCGTAAGTGCATCTAAATCTCTAGGTACTGAATGAATTTTTGAATATTAAAATATAAATCATATGACTGTCGCCTGTGATGAAGTAAGATGAATAATTAACGTCGATTTGTATGACTTAACGATTACCTCAACCACGCAACGATAGTGTAGATACGCCAAAACGCTTCAACTATTTAGTAGTGATTGATTCAACCACAAAAACATGACTGATTTTTATTTCAATAATTCGAAAACCTGTTTGTCGAAGCCTGCATTATACTTTTACAAAACGTTCGTTAAAAATAAATATAGAAATTTATGTTCAACTACGTAAAGACATTCATTGTTTTTCTAGGTGTAACAATATAACACCGAACAATGGTTAGAGCGGAAGACTTAGCATAATTTTGTTCAGAAGCACAGGCAAGTTCATCGATCGACCTACATGATTCGCTTCATATATAGTGTATATAAGTATATAATTAATCATATATATATATATTAAATATATATATATCCAAAATATATATATATATATATATCATATATATATATATATAATATATATATATATTATATATATAAATATATAATAAATGTGTGTATATTATTCGTATGCCTGAATCCCATGAATCATGTATAACGGTGTGTAAAGCGACGTGAACGTTGTCATCATGAAAAAAATAGATTTAAAAAACGTAACCTCCAACTGTATGGAAAAGTTATCAATTCAACGCATATTAATAGAATGCCAAACATACAGTGACAGCAGGAGTCACCAAATCCTAGCAGGGAGCCAATCAATTTTTAACATTATAAATTTAGTAAACCTGATATAATACATTAGAAAAGAAATGTACTACGACTGACACTGAATAATGCAAGGCTAACTGAACTTTATATAGAGAAACAAAGCCTAATGCGTTAAGATAGCCTTCCAATGCTAAAACGCCGTGGAACCGTAGAAAAGAAATGAACTTATCACCCGACTGACTTGAAACATTAAATATTTTAGCATGAATTATTATAAACGTTACTCAGATAATAATCTTGAGTTCTTATAACTAAGACTAACCAAACAACACGGCTTTATCGTTCCACCCACGGTAAACAGGTTTCTGGTTGGAACAAAGCCTGCTTATTCCCGATTTGGTTCTTTTCGAAAGTTGCACTTGTTTAGAGATTTGGAACAGGTTATAATCCGAACTGTCTGCAAAGGTATATCATGTATTTTCATGCAGCTCCAATAAAAATTACTAAAATGATGATTGTAGGGACATACATCTGAGTTAACCTTCAACCACTAAGTTACAACCGAAGATTTCTCCTCAATTATTAAACAAAAGACAATGCTACACCGCATCACATTTCACTTTAACGACACTTACAAACAAGATACCTGCGACCTCCAAATTAAATTGCAAAATCAAACAAAAACTCAATAATATGTATTGAGATTTTAATATTCGTAAGATAATGACGAGGCAATGTGCGGAATGTGAAAGAGAAACATAACCGACAATATGTACAACAACACATGATGTCATTCACATCCAACCAAAAACAAATTAAAAGTTGTGGGTTAACGATAAACTGTTGGCACATTTTAAATCAATGTTTCTCTACAGCTTTTGTCAGCGGAAGTTGATCCGGCAGAAGATGATGCTGATTTATCTCGGGACATCTTGATTCTTTCTTTTTCTAGCAACAATTTCAACTTTTCATTCTTTTGTTTCATATGTTCGATTGTCCTCAGGTTTTCATTGAGCTTTCCCTGCATGAAGTTCATCAAAGGTACTTGGATGCACTCAACTATCTGAACCACGTTCTTTGTGTACACTGAAACGGTAAAGTTAATGGAATCAATTAAGTCTATATCATGTGCTCTTTCAATAAACATAAGTTGTAACGCCATTCAAACACAAATATCTCAAAAAAAAAACTGAACAATCTAACAAAGAAGTTATAAACACACCTGCTCCATTGTGGAGAGAGCTCGTGAGATCTAAAGAATCTGATTTCGTGCTTTCAAATAATTCTTTCTCTTCTTGCCATATAATTTCATGTAGTTGCTGGTAGGAATCGAGAATTGATGTGCACATAGTTGTTGACGGCGTGATGTGCACGTTTACATCAACTCTCTCGTACCTGATGTGTTTCAAACATAAATTACGAAAGAGTGCATGTAACAGTTGCAGTTTAAGTCATTTCCAGATTTTCTCTAATTTAACATAAATTAGTTTCAAAAACGTTCCAAATTTATCGCTCCCTTCTCTTGCCTTCTCAAAACTTACTTGCTGAGTGAGATAGATAGAAAATTGTGATATCCCTGCCTCGAGTAATTCAATTTCTACCCTTAAATAGATACCCAACTTCAATACCAAACCAACAGGAATACTCAAAGAAATTGTTAAGAAATAGATATAAACTGAGTTGATGTAAAATAAAAAATGAGTACCTTCCACCTGCTAGTACGCTCGATTGAAAGCCACACATCTGAATGTGGTTCGCCTGTTTGAACAACATTTGTAACATCACTATGTTTTTGCATAAGAATTTGATCATTAACTAAACAAAATTATTTATCCACAATGACTGTATAAGCAGTTAGTGTGGTACTTTCCATAAGAAACAAGTTTAATACTTAACATTTTAATGTACATGCATAAATAAGCATCAAAAGTTATTATTAGAAAACTACATTACATTTAAAGACATACATTTGATTTATCTTGGTTAAAGACACTGAAAATTAGACCAACAAATCTGTCGTCCATCAGCTGATATGAGGCTTGTGTCTTTAAATCTGTACAGCGATGTAACATTTATATCCCAAAACTATAACTTAATATAAATATAGGTGCTATAATATAATAACATACCAACACGCAACGTATACAGTTCTGATATAATACACAATACGTATATATGTGATATATCATCAAATTATGGTACCTGAGATGTGACATGGAATGATGATACATTAGAAACGAACCTACATTGGAAGGCCAGACAGTGATGTGTGGATGTGAATGATACCAACCAACAATTCTCATTGGCTTGTTCAACTTTTCACTCAAGTGCTGGGTCAAAGTTTTAATAAAGTCATAATGGCATGGAAACAAATTCTATAATCAGTGTCAATTTCAACAAAATATCTTTAAAAGAAAAAAAATTAGAATTATTGAATACTTTGGTTGATGAAAAAATAAATTAATTATGGTTGATGGTAAAAAAATAAATTTCAAACTTGAACACACCTCAGCATGGTTGGAAGCATTGGAGAGCTGCTCAGGGGAGATTTCAACCCTATCTGGTCGTTTGTCGGAACGCTTCAATATCATGGCTGAGGAAATGTGACAGGTCTCATTTTCACAGTCTATCTTTATTTCATAATTATCAAAAAAAACTATGAAAAATTTTCAAATCAAATCTAAAATGAATGTTTAGTAATTATCAATGAAACATATTCATTAAAAAATAAAATCAAGACAGGATTTGTTTTAAAATTTTGAAAAGCTTACATTGGTAATTAAACTATCTATTATAGAACAAAAAAATGTATTAAATAAATGTTCAAACAAACAACCTCGCCAATAAGAAGACCCATAATTTCTTCTTTCTCATTGGTGAATGCATGAGCAATGCATAATGCATATGTATCAGATGTCAAATAAACATTAGTTAGGACCATTTTCACTGAAATTATGATGTATAATGTATATGTATGACATGCACATTGAATTTATTAATTATTATAAAAATATAAACAAATTCAAATCAATTCAATGTTAAACTAAAAAGTTGCCAAACAAACTCAAAGTGAACAATACAAGACACAAGAGAAGTAAAGTGTAACATGTGTAATTGTAATGAAACAGTAATTAAATTTTTTTTAACTATTATATTATGATTGTTTGAATTTGAATAGTAAATGTCAGGATTCTTTTATATGGAAATTTACAAACTTGGGCCAAGTAAACATTTGAAAAAGTTAATTTAATAATTGATATTTTTATTTAGGTTTTTCAAGTTTTTCAAGTTAATCTTTATAATAAATAATTGTACGAACTTTAAGTTTTAAAAACTGATGTACACTTTTAAACAATCTCATTGTTCGGACCCAAGTTTTTTGGTCTGATTTGGGATGTGCGTTTAGACAAAATAAGACAACCATTTTTATCGAAGTTTCCCCTTATCAAATTCTTCCAAACCTTTTTTCTATCTTTATCCTTCAACTTTTATCTTCCAAATTTTTTATTATATATATATATATGTTTCAAATCATGTATATATATATATATATATATATATATAGAGAGAGAGAGAGAGAGAGAGAGAGAGAATAATATCACTGAACTACATAGTTTAAACCTTAAACTTTGTTGAATGACGTCAACCATATTTGGTGCATGGCATTTTCAAACAGTTTAGAATAAACTGATTGGTGAGATGCTTCCAGGTCAACGTTAAATTCAAGTGTATTATGCTTCATTTCCCATATACTACTCAAAGTGGAACAATTGAATTGGATATAGGGATATATGTTAATTCAAAGAAATAGTTACATGTGTATGGAATTTAAAGCACTTTACTTCTGGTGAGGTTTTTAATGGGGAGTAGACCAGGTCATCATTCAGGTCAATTTATATATACATATATTATATACCGAAAAAAGCTTTTCCGTCCTATCATGCATAAAACAAAAAAATTTTGGTCTTGAACTAAAGAAACTTGAAAATGATTTAGGATCATCCGTTAGAAAAATCGAAGAGTTAAATTGGAAGTTAACTTACGCCGAACATGCTGTGATTTTCATCATTAATTATATATTATATATGTGTGTATGAATGTGTGTATGTATGTATTATATTCATACACCATATAAATAGAATAAATTGATAAGTGATCTAAATGTAAGAGTAACGTACAAGTCTAAAATCGAGGAAAAAAACTTATCTTGACTTATATGTAGTCTCTTTTGTTTACATTTAAATTTATCATTTTAAATAATTACACAATAAGATATGATGATTTCATTGCGATATTTTTCAAACGAAGTCCTTTTTTAGTTTGAAATTCTTGTAAATAGTTTCTTCCATTTCTGTAAAATATTTTTCGACTTGTAAATAAATAATTAAAATCCTCTTAGATGAAATTATTTAGTTGTAAAAGTACCTAACCAACACTAACTCTACTCAACTTTTATACTTTGTTTACTATCTACTTCTTTGTCTCTATTTCCAAAGAAATTACTTTGTTCCAATTGTCCTTTCTTCATTCACTAATTTTCCTTTGTTTTTTTCTCTTTCATTTGCTGTGAGGTGGGGCAAAACGTTTGCAGTCGGAAGTCAGTCATGGGTCGAGGAGGGGTCATCAACGCAATTTCTTTCAACCAAGATTCCAGTTTAGTCAATTCTCAGTTCTAATTTAATTTTAACTAATTTAAAATGAAATTATAATATTCTATTATTATAATTAATAGTAATATAATCATATTATATTATAATTATATTACATATCATAGTGTAATTACTAATATAATGTTATATAATTTATTAAAATTATATTATAATTTTTATTATAAAAGTAAATTTAATATTAATTAAAAAATGAGTTATGTCTCTATTCTATTTTATAATAGTTTATTTAATTTTAATTACTTTACTAATTGAAAAAATCAAATAAAATAATGTTAAATTAAAATAAATAATGTGCTGTAATTGTCAATTATTATTTTAATTTTGTCCATTTACAACTTTTTGACAAAGGATCCCTCTTTACTACTCTTCATTGTCATTGCTTTGTTCTCTTTATTTTTACAATATATTTTTTAATTGAAAGTGAGTTTTTACTTAAAATTTCAAATATTCTTTTATTTTTTTTTTCTCTTGATAGTTTTGTTATAATTTCTTTTCAAAGGTTGCTTTGTAACAGCTGCAAGTACTGGAGTTAGAATTTTCAACACAGATCCACTAGTCAGCAATCTCACTTTGCGTAAGTCACTCATAGAAGAGACATTCAGTGTCAATTAAATCTTTATTTCAAGAACAATCTCACAATTTAATATTAAAAATTATTATTAATTTTATTATAATTATTGCTTTTTAAAGGAATGTTTGATATTTTCAACAGTTGATAAAATTATGTTCATGATGTGGTTCTGTTGAAGTTTTCATAAATTTTCATATGGATCATATGAGTTGTCTTCATCTATAAGGATAGAATTATTAGTCATTTGCCTGAAATTATATTACTTATTATATCATTATATTACTCCAAGTTAAACTCTAATGTCTGGATGGTTGATATTGTGAGAGGTTTTCCTTACTTATCATATGTAGCAAGTAAGGAATAGTTTAAGCCAGTGATTCAGCAATTAATTTTAGTTAAAGTAATATCTCTCTCCCTTGTTGTTTGATGTCTATTGATGCAGTTGGTTGTGTCTAACCTTTTTAGATTCTGAAAAAAATTGTATTATCAAAATAGCCTCCTACAGCATGCAGAAAGTTGCATAACAGGACAAACAATAAAAGCATTAAATCTAAATAATCTCAGTGAAAATAAACAAAGGATAAACAAGTAGGCAACAACAAGCTCATGAATATTTCATACACCTACAAATAGTGTTGATAAAATAAAATGTTTATACATTACACTAATAAATTGAATAATGAAGAAAAGATTATAGAACTAACTGACAAAACTGAAGATGCAGTGACAGTTCTCAGCTCATCTACAATTTGTACACTGGATGGGTTTTGTTTGAAATGGGACTCACTTCTTGCACATTTTTCTAAGCATCTTTCCTTTTCTAAAGTGAGCAGTCCTTTATGAGCACCTCATAGCTGGTGAGCTAGAATTTTTTGTTGATCAGTGATTCCTTAAGGCATACGAGAATGCTATATGGAGGAAATTAAGAATGTATTACAGATGGTGCTTGCTCTTGAAAACAATGGAATCAAGAAAATTTTCTTTGAAAATTTAATATTTTGTGATAGAAGTTTATCTCTTAATTTATAATTAAGTGCTGCCCAATTTATTTCAAGATATTTTTTGTTCCTTCATACTCGTACATCATTCCATTGATTGATTCTCAAGTTTGATTCATCTTTTTTCATGCTATACCTTTCAGGCAATCTGCTTAGAGCTTCAATACTCTCATAACTAGTCGCCATACTTTTATATTGTTGTGTGCATGTCTTATTTTTGGGATTATGTCAAACTTATTTTCATTTCTGAACTTTATCTGTTGACCAAATAAGTGACCAAGTAGCTCACTATGATCTCCATTCAAGTTTGGTAATATGATTTATTCAGCAGTGTTTGTGTAGTAATCACATCAGTAATGAGTGAGTAATCACATCAGTAATGAGTGTTGATTCATTTTTATTGAGCAGTATTTCTAAGCTCTTTGTGTGTTTGTAGAATCAAGAAACTATCTCATGGCGTGCTACTACACAGAATTAATACATAATTGTTCATTTTTTAAACATTTCTAAATATCATTAGTCAAATTATTTTTTTTCAGCTAATGATGTTGTTGGTGGGGTGGTAGTAGCAGAACTTCTAAACAAGACAAACATTCTGGCTGTGGTCGGTGGAGGAGCTAACGCTAAGTTCCCAGAGAATTCTGGTTCACATGAACATTTGTTACATTTTGGCATTTTATTTTTGGTTTTATTCAAGAATAAATTTAAAAAAATATATGAATCAATCAACTGCTCTTATTTCAATTTTTGACAGATCAGTTTGTTTTCAATATCTTTCATTTGCACAAAATTTAACATCAGTAAATAATTTTTTATTAAAAGTTAATTAACCACACTTCTACTTTTTTTCGTGTGTTTGTGATGACAATTAATTTTATTTCTTCAATTCAATTTCAGTGGTGCTGCTGGATTGCTCAATACCGTTAAAAAACAAAAAAACAGTTGACATCAGGTTCAGCCAACCTGTACTTGCAGTTAAAATAAAAGAAACAAAGTTTGTTTGATGATTTATTTTCTAGTTCATTTCCTTTATTTGCTGTTGATCTTTATAACTGATGTTGAATCAATAAATTTGTCAGTGTGGCTCCCAAATTGAGTTGACATGCAATTTTTTTATTCAGAATGTATTTTGATAGATTTTGAAGACATCACGATTTCTTCGATGTTAAAATATTTTACAAACCTTCCAAAAAAATTAATTATTAACGAAATTGTAACATGTGATAAAATTTAGGCTGATTGTGGTGCTGAGGAATGAGATCCACATCTTCAGTTTCCCACACAGAATAGAAAGGTCCTGTGTCTTCACAACAAGAGACAACCCCAGAGGTACTTTGCAAGATTTGTTAAAATTATTTAGCTCTGAACTGATGTACCATGATGAATTCGTTTGTGTTGTGAATTTTTTTATAAGAATGGTAGAGTTATTCCTTTTGTGTTGTGTTAGTAAAGCATCAAAACTTCTTTATCGTTTCATTTCTGCAGGCATTTGTGAAGTTTGCAGCACACCAAATTTCAATCTCCTCGCATTTCCCGGTCCGAAATGTGGATCTGTCCAACTCGTGGTTCGTTCATTTTGCATATTTTCCATCTAGTCGACATTAATTTACATTATTTCATTTACATTTTGTCATTTTTAATGATAAAAGGACACACACACAAAATTTCAAATTGAAACTTTGAATTTTGTAGGATCTGAACCAAAGAGAAAAAACGCAGTCCACATCTCCCAACCTTTTCTCCGCCCACGATTCCGAGCTGGCTGCAATTGCCATTGATAATTCGGCCACCTTCATCGCAACTGCTTCCAGAACAGTTAGTTTCAACTCTTATTTTCATTGTTACTTTCTTTCAGAAATCACCAGATGGAGCTGCACTTAATTGTTCTTGCTTATAATTTAACTTATTCTTCAAACACCCACGAAAAAACATGCTGGCAGCATGTGTCAGATCAATTCGTGATATATTTAACAGCGTTTCTGCCGAGTAAAACTTGCTTCACAGATTGTTTTAAATCATTCAAATAAATGTTAGTGATTAGCATCACCTCTTCCACTACTTCTCAAAATTTTATGCAACGCATGACCAATGCATTTATCTGTTTGTTTTTAAATGATGTTGTCAAAATGTTGTTTTTAAAGTACTTCAGAAAACGACAATCAACTTGAAGTTTTGTCAAAATGAAAATAATTTCTTCATTTTTTTGAGAACCCTATTTAATTTTTCTAATTTTTTTTGGTCTATACCAATAAAAATGAAAATAATTTACCAGCATTGATTTTATAAAAATAGTTTATCAATTTTATTTATTTATTAAAAATAGTTTTAATTTTGAGTCAATGTATTTCATATCTCACCGACCAGATTTTAAATGAAGTCATAATTGAATAAATAAATGATCCACTAAATAAACAATAAGCCCATGTTAGCATACAAATCTATTATTTCCAGTTCAAACCTTTATTGATGAATCCTTAACCTAATGTTTTGCTCATTTCCAGGGCACGTTAATACGGATTTTCAGTGCCATTTCAAAAGATAAAGTTGCAGAATTTCGGAGGGGGCTGGACGGCGCCATGATATACTGGTCTGTCTGTGTCATTTTCATTATTAGAACTATCACCCAAAAAAATGTTTTTTTAACAAATACTATGGGGTAATTTTGAATGTTTGTTACAGTAGTTGTAATAAAATTTCGAAATCAAACGTAGAGTTGGAATTGGATAGATAATTTAATATTTTCCTCAATTATTTCAATTGCAGTCTGTCCTTCAGTAGCAACTCTGATTTTCTGTGTTGTTCCAGTGACAAATGCACCGTCCACATATTTGCAGTGCGATGTACTATGCTGAACAGGCAGTCCATGTAATGTGTTTTAATGTTTTCAATCTATTTCAGTTCAGTTTGATTTTATACTAAGTGATTGTTTGAATCATTTAGAAAGGGTGAATAGTTTTCATGTTATTTTATTGGTTTTATTTAACGTATGTTAAATTTTTTATGGTCTAACTTGATTTCATCTTAGAAATTTTTCAGTAAAACAATTTTTATTTTTTGCATTTAATTTCAATAATAGTTTTTTTAGAAATATCTTAGAAACATTTCGGTGCCGTCTTTCTCATAATTCAGTGTTAAGTTTGTAAATTTTGAGAAAAACAATAGAATAAATGGTAAAAAGTTATAGAATCCGATAAATCATTACGACCTCAGGTTCAAAAGCATGGGCAGTCTTCTCGGATCGTACGTTGAATCTCAGTGGGGGTTTACTGGTTTCTCGGTGCCTGTCGATTATGCAAGTGTGTGTGCCTTCACTTCGGCCTCCTCCGTTGTTGGTTAGTGCCGTCGTCTGCCTCAGATCAGAAGTTGTTTGTTGGATGTCTGCTAGACAGTGAATGATGCCTGAAATTTTAAAAAATTAAACTGTTTTGTATTTTTTAAATTCTGCTTATTTTCATTTTTCATGTTCGGTGATTTGTAGATAAATGCCAGTTAGTTTGAGTAAAGACGAGATTTTGTGGACCAAAAATAAATTTAAAATGGTAGCATTAAATGTAGTTCAGAAATGTTCAATTTATTTACAGCACTGAGCGCCAATGGATCATATAGTAAATATGATTTCACCGTTGATGGGGCGTGCAACAGGGAAGTTTATGATGTCTTTACAGATCTAGATGATGAAAATGAACTCTGAACACTACCACTGACGCTTTTCAATTTTGATTCGTAATTCTGATCATCATTTTTTTTCTCTTCAGACAGTTTAAACAACCATTTATTTTAAATATTTTTATGTTTTAAATTTTATGTCTTACATATTCCTTGCGCAATGTACATATTTTATATGTCAATATATATTTGATTATGAGCTGTAGATAAATGTACTCGTTAATGTTTCTCTGTGTGCATCTGTACACGCTCATATGTGTAAAGTGTATTCAAGAAATAGGCTTATTTTGAATCTACCTGTGCTGGCCGCCCACAAAGAAGCCTACATTTGTGAGTACGCATTTTTTCATTTTAACCTGATTTTCCAAGAAATATGAATCTGTCTCAACAATATTTCAATAGAAATAATAAAATTTTGCGAGTTCATTTTTAATTTGGAATTGTATTACCTGATGCTTTTTATGAGAACTTTCATAATATAACGATGCACCCCACTTAAGCAATGTCGTAATTTTGCACTTCAACTGCATAATTTTCTTTTATTTAAGCGTGTAAGTTGATTTTTTTAATTTACTTTAAACGTCTGAACTGAGTGAGATTTTTAGCAACGGTCATTGCACACCACACCATGCCCAACACACAGACATATTCCACATTCTTTCAGTCATGATTTTATATCATCATCCCGTATATAAATATATTGACCACATACTGTTGTGTATATTTGTGTGTTATGTGTATGTCTGTGCGTGATCAATTATGTAAATATGATATATGGATATAAAGCGATGTACATACTAAACTTTATGGTGTATTTATATATATGTATGCATATATATATACATATATATATATGGTCTTGTATGAATTCTAATTGTTGGCATTAATTAACGCCAACAATTCGGAAGTATTCATACAAGACTGTATAAAATATGGTCTCCTTCCAACAAGTATATATATATAATATATTGTAAATAATAGACTGTTTTACATTACATGTGAATTGCGTTGTCGATCAACCTGTGAATAAAAAAACTTGTAGGTAATTATTCTTAAATGTTTCAACTTTCGTTTTCTATTAAAACAACAAACATTTTGCGTAACAATCACTTTTATTATCATGTTTCGTTATGTTCATTTATTGGACACATGCAGTGTACACAGCAATGTACCGACACATTTAAACCGTCACTATCAGTCAACACATGTTAGCTGATTGAGAGTTGGAGAGCAACACCTGATTGCTGTGCTCTTCAGCTCACGTCATGTCATCTATCATCTTGCTGCGTTGTTCGTGTGCTTGCGTAACTGCTGAGTCAACTGTATTTGTATAGATGAGTTATTTATTTTACATTCATTAATCGTTCCTTGCTTATTTGGTGAATTTATTTATTGAAACGACATTTATTTCAGTTTAAAAATTAAACATTAAAACGTGAAGTGCAAGTTGATTGATTTGAATGAATCTAAATTTACAATCGGTATATGACTATATGATGCATAATTTAAATGAAACAGAATTTAAATACCATTAGTTACACAACTTCAAACTTTACGAAAAGCTGCACAGACAAATATACACAATAATATTCTGTCTATACGAAATGAATGAATGTTACAGGTATGAAATGTACAACAACCAAACATGAACAACGCTCCTTCCTACCTCCTGAAACTTTTGAATGTTCATAATGAAGAAATCTCCGTATCTTCTTTCCACTTTGGTGTCAGCTATGTGGATCATGTCCTGTGTTGAATGTATTTGTTTGTTTAATTAACGTTATTACTTTGAATTACTTCCTTTCAACTGTGCAACAGCCAAACAAAGACCCAATATAGAACAATGGATTGTGTTATATGTAAAGGTGGTGAGTTCATTTGACATTCGAAATTTTTATGAAGCATCTATAATAGATGTTGCCACTTACTGCATTCGGTTAATTAAACTCGAGATGACTGATTCACTAATAAAAATAGCAGCTGCTGAAATATATTTCTATCACCTTATCAATGTAGAAATCAACTTCAGAGGCAGATTGAAATTCTCCCTCCAGACCACTGACGCCCTTCGTCCAAACGAGGTTCTGCATCTTGTGCTGTTTCAAGTTTGTTCACATTTAACGCTTGTTAACATTTATCAACGGCTGTTCACAATGTTCAATACGAGCAGGTAGTTTCATAACACTAGCGCTCGTAGTGCCATAAATGAATGAAGTAACGTACAAATGGATGAACTAAAAACAAATGAATAAAAAATGGATGAATAGAAAGAAACATACACATGGATAATTTAAAAAAATCACCTTAAAACACATCAGATGGCTCATTAGTTCAGACTCTTTCTGCAAAAATCGAATTAAATCTTAAAACTTTAGCTGTGTGTAAGAATTAGTTAAAACGAAGCATAATGTTGTTCATCAGGCCACACAGGTATTTGAAAAGTGAATAAATCATTCATAGGTTATCAATAAATCAGTTATGAATATGTCATAGCACCAGAGAATTTCACTGAACAAAATAATTAATTGAATACGTAAGAACAGATAGGAAAGTAATGCCCAAAGTGAATAAGCAAAGTGAATGCCTAACCATGTCCATGAAATTGGCCAGTTTGGAAACAGGCATTGTAGTGTACAACTTCAGAAAACTGTAAACAATTGTCATTATTGTAATTGTTATTACGGTTGTTGTTATTATTATTATGGTTATTATTGTTGTAAACATCTCATAAAACATAACTGACAGATATAATTGTGAAGACAATTACAACAGCGATACTTCACAAATACTCATAACTTTGCCTCTTAAAACAACAAAGTCGTGAAAAAACATATGAAAAACAGTTTGCAGGAAATCATATTAGCAAAAATTTGTTGAATCAAATTCAATAAATAATGATAAGTGCCACCAAACATAACGCGAAACACGGCGACACATAATCAACGTAATGAGAGCACACAGCACACATAAAGAGACCTTCTGATGGTGGAGATAAGTTGCTGACTGACAACCTCCCTCAAGAAGACAGACAACTGCTGGTTGTGCGGCTCCTTTGTTAATGTTCAATTTCAAACACATTATAGATATTCTTTCGATGTTAAGTATATAAACAAGGTAATCAGAAAAATAAAGACACAAATACACACAGACAGAAATACACCGGTACAAATAAATAATTGCTTAGCATGAAAACCATCCCAGCAGAACTGATTAATAGCATGCCACAAACGTACATATTTAAAACTGATTAGCATGAAAATCAGTCTGACAGCGAGACTAAACAGCATAACCAACCAACATGCCTATGTTACAAACAGGCAAACCAACTTTGTAGTAGTTGGGATGCAGAGGGATATCCCAGTTGGGAGCATGTGGGAAGAGGAACTTGGGACACGCAAACTGAAAACTGGACTCAAATTCCTGCAAGTCTCTGTGCATGATAATAATATATCAATCTAATGTAATTATAAAACAAATCAACATAATCATCTGCTTGGTCTGAGACAAGGACATATAACCACACTGCAAAAAAAATAATGCACGTTGACCATAGTATTATCTTATTTTATTTTATAATTTGGGCTCAGCCATTTGTTTGAATAAACGAGAAACGAGTGGATGAACTTGGAAGATATAGAAAAAAACATTGATAAAACAAAGGCCGCCAACCCTCCTTGCAAATGCAAACCACAACCAAAAATTAACAAAAACACACAAAATTGTATCATCTACCCCTTCTGCATTTTGGAGATCTTCTCAGCGAACTTCTCCCTCAGATGAGAACTGACAGTTTCGTCTATGGACATCGGGTGGAGAGTCAGGCAGATGGCCAGCAGTGTGAACATCTGATCGTTCTGCTTGTTAATCTGCCATTCAAACAATTTGGGAATGTTATACAATACAGCAATCAAGTTCATGGTGACAATGATGATGAAAAATCTAGTTCATCAAAATCTTCATCATCTCCAAAAAATTAGAACCTGATCGTATAAATATGTCTTGCTCTGGAAATGCTGCTTAGTTTTCTGGATGAAGAGGAGGATGTTTGTGAATGTTCGAATGGCATCCTGGTACCTCCTCATCATCATGTAAGCGAATCCAACGTAGTAACATGTCGTTATGTGACAGGTTGACACTCTCGAATATGAACTCTGGAAAAATTAAAGCATGCCATATTTTTATCAATCATAAGCAAATCAAAATGCTGACAAAAAACTATAATGAGAAATCTGAAAAACAACAATAATATGCAACATTAGAACAATCTTATGCAACATAACTGCAATAAATAACACAACATAAGTAGCAACATCAAAAAAGACATTTGATATGAAACAATAGTGAACAACATAACATTAAATGCATGCACACCTAGTACAATGCAGGAAAACCACAACAATATGAACCATACAACAAATACAATAAAACCACACAACAACCATGCCGTGAAAAAATCAACAACAAACAAACCAGCAACTTACTGACCTTCCTGTTGAAGTTAATCTTCTCAATGACCTTGAGGGCTAAGTAGTAGTCCCCATGCAATGAGTGCAACCTCAAAAGACCTACCAAACTGAAGTAGCCAAGCATCTTGTACAGATCATGCTTACCGAACTCACCTGCCACCGGATCAGCATTTTCACCATTCACCAGTGCATCAAGTTGTTGGTTGATGTTCGACTTCTCTACAAGTGCATGCAGAACATTGAGGACCTGACAAGGGTTAGTTTCATTTTAAACATATGTAACGCCCACCTTCTCTTTAAAATTTTATTGTAATTTGTAATAATGTGAATTTACATAGTAAACGAACTTATGCAGACTGTCATGTAAAATAATGAATGTTGAATTTTTTTAAATGTAGACCATGAATAAGACGTAATTTAGAGTCTATGCAAAGCACAGTGCAGATGTGCTTCAATACAGTCTAACTAACAAGAACACAGCAAGCATTATAAAGTACTGATGGGAAGAAACTTCATATATATAATGTTGTCCCTACAAAACAATGTTGTTAAATTAACTTTGTGTTTATTTTTCGTGCAGCTATGCAAAACCTCAATCTAAAAATTTGTGATAGATCCTGTTTAATTTGTCTTATAATATTTATTTTTGTGTTGAGATTCTTTCAGATTTACTAAATATCCAGCCACTAAGCAAACATATCTAACAACCACACAAGAACAAAACAACTTGTTGTAAAAGAAAATTTAAATAATATAAAGTTTATATGTGCAGTGGCATTAACAATTGCATGATTAAAAAAATGATGAAAACCTGATGAACATTCCAGATGCTCGGATTGTTCCTCAGCATCTCAATCTCCTCATCCTTCTTCTTAGAAACTTTCGAACAAAACTGACTGAATGTTTGATACTGTGGGTTGAAAACAAATAAACTTTTTCAACAGACAAGATCACTCAAAATTATTCAGTGAATCAGAAACCAACTACAATCTCATTAAACTTAACAAACAAACAAAATAAAATTGGAGACAAGTTAACGAACTGGATCTTGCAATGAAAAATTTAGTAGAAAATAAATGTCGTGCTAACCTGGTAGATGAACTCGTCAATGATGTCCCAGAGCCACTGGTTTGGCAGCACAAGCGATACTGGGTGCTTGGCATCTGCATTTTATTCATTATTTCACATTCCTTATTCCTCATTTTACATAGATGGTCAAAAAAAAACATTTCCATATTACAATCGTTAATCTGATGAGTCAGCCAGTAACGACTGCTGTATGGTCTACAGGTGGTGAATGGTAAACACCAACAAACAAACATACCAATGAATAAATAAACTAACTAGCAAAACAACAAACAAACATACCAATGAATAAACAAACTGGCAAACCAACACACAAACAAACCAATTATGAGGTTAAAGAGGTGGCAATAGTTCTGAAAACTTTCAATTCTTTGGTTGAAAGTTGGAGTAAACTGGTGCAATGAGTAATTAACAAACATCATTCTAGGTGCTAATATAATTTCAAAGATGAACAGACAAATTGTAATGAAAAATTTAATGAAATAATATATTTTAAGTATATAGTAAATATTTGTTACTCCTATTGCATGCATGGTAAAATTAGTATTGACAGCCTTGTATAGAGTTGACACTTATCTCTAACTGCACTACAAATAAAAATTTTTGTTGAATTTCCAATTCAGTTAAATTATAAATGCATAAAGAGATAGATTAATTTTATAAGTCATATCAAGCAATTTAAAATACCTTCGCATAGATATGCCTGTAGTACAGTTCTTTGTACAAGATCAAAAATACGCCATCTATGGTAATGAATGGTTAACAGTTAGAATAGTTAGACTGCTTTGTAAACAATTTTATTAGTTTTTATTGGTTCATTTGATAATTTGAAATTTTTTCAGATTACTATACAAAAGTGGAAAAGTTTCGGTCTGTGTTGTTCTGCTGTGTTGTCCCTTTTAATTAATTCTTTGAATGAATGAATGATAAGATGGCAATATAATGGAATGGTGATCTCTGCTGATGAAAAGACAGTGGCAACAGAATGAAAACTAGACATACAACGTTCAGTAAATATTTCTCGCAACTCAACTGTGCATCCTTTCACGAGGTGGCAAACAAAGACCAGCAACAAAAATAACAGTATAAAATGAAAAGAAGCAGAAACCATTTTGAATGTACTTGGCCACGTCTTCCGCTTCTGGCCATGGTGAGTTGCTGAAAAATCTTTCAGTCAATTTGTTGAAACTGTAAATGTAATGCTTTATATTATATCTTTTCAACATTTTATTAATTCATCACATCATTTGAAAAAAATGGAAAAAACAGACAATTAACTAAATCTGACGGTTAAAAGTAAATTTTTAAAAATACAAAAACAGGATACCCATTCTCATAGGCATTCTGTATCTCAAAGACATCCTGGTCATGAATGCTCTTCTGGAAGTAGACAAGGAAGCTCTTGATGACTTCGGGCAGGATGAAACTTCCCTTCTGCATGTACTGCCTGTCATATTCCAAGTCCTGGTGGGGGTCGCCTATATGGACATTTTAAAATTACATTTGTCACTAAACAAGATTATAAATAATATCTGGTCGCAGCAAAATTAGATAAATTAAACAGATGCTAAAATTATTAAAAATTTATGGAATCTAAACTATAATTTAAAAAACAATGCAAATGAGTTACAAAGCTTTTATTTATATTTTTTAACTATATATACATCGTAAATTATTCTCATGTTTCTTGAGTTTTTTGTTTGTTTTAAGCATGATAGAATAAAAAAGCTTATTTCCGATATCATCTTCGGTGTTCGAATTGATACATTGTGTATATGGCCAGATGCTCAAATATATATGTATCTCTACTTTGTTAAATCTTTGTTTGTTTACTTACTTTAACATTTAATTCAAAGAATTCATACAATATTGTATGTATATATTAGGGTGGGTCGAATTTTTTTATCTTTCCAGTACATGAACAAAAAGTTGTCTTGGCATCAGTACAGTATGAAAATAATATTTAAAGATTTTTTATGAAACGTTTAGGGGTCCCAACTTTTGATTAAAGTCTTACCTTATTTGGTGTATTTTAACCATTTCCTTGGTACAATCTAAATACGTACCAACTATAAATCATTGACTAAAATAAAAAATAAAATGCATTGGCAAATGGCTTAGCATCTAACTACAAGTGCTAAAAAAGTAATATATATATATATATATATATATATATATATGAAAAAAAAATTTAGAATAACATGTCAAGTACATGATTAAACATCAAAAAACATCACATCACAAACAAGAAAGAAGACCTGTGTGCATGCCATAGTCACCTGCTTGATAAGCATATGGATTTTGTTGATCATACTGTTGAGGTTGGATATTAGAGTAAAAATTTTAAAAAAGTTTAAATAAAAATTGAATAACCGAAAATAAATTTAAAATGTCGATTTAATATAAATTTATGGATTAAATTAAAATGGAACTAACGAAAATAAAAAGTAATAGTTTTTTTTATGATGGAGTTTTTAATGGTAAGTTAAGTGCGGCGTCAACTTTTAGCTGCTTTATAAAAAGTTTGAGTAAAATTTAAACAAAAGGATTGTAAAAGATTAAAAACACCCTATTTTAACCTCGGTGTCCGGGTAAACTTCGCTGGCGTGCCACATTTTCGTTGAATAAACTTAAAAACAAGCGATAAATAAAAAGAAAATCATAGAATATGACAGTGCTTAAAGTGACAGAGTTTATTTGAAAAATATTTTGAATCACAAAAATAAAACAAAATTTCAATTTTGCTGTTAAATTAAATATTCAAAAAATATTATTTAAAAATGTATAATATTATACTTATTCTGTTTTAATGTTTGTCAAATAAATATTGACTCATAAAGAAAAAATTACTTTTTATTGTTAAATTAAATTAACTTTTAAATAAAATCTGATCGAAACGTTTTAAAATGCTCAGATCGAAATTTATAAATTTGACGGTTTCGCACCTGAAAGCAAACAAATTTCTTTTCAAAAACGTCTACAAGAGCGCCTACAACATTGACAATCTTTATCCAAATTCTCACAGTGTTGATTACAACAAGTTAATACAAGAGGTTGTCAACTCTCAACTTTTAATTTTAATATTTTTAATTTAATTTAATTTTAATTTGTCTCTTATTTTTTATGTAATCCTTCATTTTAAAATTTTGTTTCTGTCGATTTTCAGTGAAATGTTATTTGTTTGAATACTTATTAATATAAATTTTATATATTTATATATAAAATAAAAGACATGATATTTCTGGTTAATTAAGTTAAAAAAGTTAGATTAATTAACATCACCGAATTAATAAAATTTATAAATAAATGTATGTTTATAAATTTTTATCAAGAAAGTAAAATTCTATTTGGGAATAAAAAGTGAGAAATTAATTTGCAAGAAACCAGCTTGAAAAACTCTAAATGTATAAATATATTTATATTATATATATTATATATAAATGAAAAAGATTAAAACATTATATTAGAAATTTGAGACTCTTTAATTTTTAACCATATTTGCAGACATTAAAGTTGTTATATTCTTGAGGGAAAGAAATAAAAGAGGAAAGTTAAATTCAATAATATAGGCTTAAAATATAAAGAGAATTTATTAATTAAAATCTTACAAGAAATGAACACTGTCAGTCCAATTGTCTCTTACGTTTACTGAGAATTTTATAATTTAATGAATTCATTGGAGTTTATTATGCTGTAACAATTGCCTATGTACATAATGTATACAACTTTTTTATGTACTTTTATCTGAATCAGCAAACTAAATTAATATTATTTTCTACTAGTTTGAGTGTGGTTTGTAAATCACAAATATATTTCTTTTAATAAGTCTTTAGAGTTGTACCTTGAAATTGCCCTTTCCTATGTTTCCATAATGAACTCTGCTTGGACTTCAATGAGACATTTACTTTTTAAAAATTTTTAACTAAATATATGGAAAGCTTATATAGTGAGCTGAATGTGGTCACAAAGATTAAATTAATTCTGGAAAAAGTTTTGAATATTTTGTTATTTATAACTTCTTGGATTTATTAGACTTAATAAAACATTTATGAAACATCTATTAAACAATTTAAAAAATGCATTATTTTTTATTATTTAATTTGGAATTGTGTCATATATTGAAGAATAAGTAGTTGAATATTTGTTTTCTTAAATATAATTTTTTTTTCTATTCAAGAAAGTCGATGCCAGCAAGAACAAATTTTCTGGTTATATCCCCATAGGTATGTTGCAATGATTAATACACCATATTAATGTAAAAACTCAACATACAAATCACCTAATTTGTTTAAATAGTAAAATCTTTCATCTATGAACTTAAAATTAGATGAGTTACAAATTTCATATACAAAAAGTTCTGGGCCAGGAGGACAAAATGTAAACAAAGGTTATCAGAGATTATTTTATTTGTTCCATTTGTGTATGTTTGTATTTGTGTGTATGCTCAACGAAACATCATTCCATTAATTTGCTATCTCATCTATCAGATTAAATGGATCTGAATGTTTTATGACATTTCATAAAAAACAATTTTATAAAATTCTATTCAGTTGTTAGAGGTTCACATTTGTGTGAGCTCAGCTATTATGATTATGTGTACATGTAAAATTCGTGGATAACTTATCACATGTGTGTTTCATTGTTAATGAATGCCTCCAAGCATGATAATGACTATAATGATTCACCCTTGACAAATAAAAACATGTTTATAAACAGTAAATACAAAAGTTGAGATACGGTTTCACGTGCCATCTGCAAAATGGATTCCAGAACCTCTGAAAGAAAAACTTAAAATAAAGGTAATTAATTCCTAAATTTGTTTGTAAAATATTTTCATTTTCAGCCCCGTCTACAGCTAATATGATCATACTATAAAAACTATTTGTTTGGATTTGCTATCTGTGTATAAAAAGCATTGATTTGAAAAATTGGCATATTTATGATAGTTTTTATATTCCCTATTTATAAAAATGGTATCATTAGTTTTTTGATCAATTTTTGAAATTTTAACTTTTAATTGAACTGAATATTTGAACGCACATATAAGGAGGCAGGTAGAATAACAAAGGATGGCTACTTAGTGGTCACCTCAGACAAAACCAGGAAACAACTTTTGAATCAAGCGGATTGTTTTGACAAGATACGAACCATTATATGGGCTTGCCAGGAGAACACGTACACTCCATCACAGCAGGAGATAGAGGAAATAAAATCAAGGTTTACTTCCACTTGATTTAACACTAGTGGTCTGCTTCACTCCCTCATCTGCTAAATGAATTTTATGAAAATAATACTACTTGAACAAATGAAAAAATTTACATAATTTTATTAAAATTCAAGGCAAGAAAAAGCAAAACACGGTATTCTGAGAGAAAAGCGAGAACATTCGTTGAAAAAACAAAGCAGGTCGTCTCCTGGCAATCATGATATCTAAATCTTTTCCTCACGATTTTATAAATAACAACAATACGATTACATGCGATGGTTATGACAAAGTAAAAGGTATATTGAAATAACATGTTCAGTTTAAGTGAACTGAATTACAATGTAAAATCTATAGTCGCGGTAGGAATGCAACACTTTGATTTTTTATTTCTACATTTCAAAAATAAAAAATGCAAAATAGATACGCCTTAATAAATAGTAATAAAATATTATTTTCAAAACTTAAAATATGAATCTTAAAATATGAACGCACATACAAAGTATGAAATGTAAAAACTTTAATTTGTTTAAATAAAAACTGCTTCGGCATATAATTAATTTATGCACGTATTTGAATTACATAACAGTGCCTTTATAAATCCACACACAACCACTAACACAAATTTAACGAGTTAAATTAACAAAGACTATAATATATTATAATTTGTCATTTCCTCTTGATGTGACGTTTCCATCAGCTGCTCCAAAGAAAACTTTGTGGGCTGTTTGAATGAACAAACCCGTTTCAACAATTCCTAGAATCAAAATATGTAATTAATTTAGTTTGTAAATAATAAAGTCTCTGATGTTTTAACAATATACTTAACTGAGGTAATAAATAGTTTAAGATACAAACATGACAATGAATTATAAGTAATTAATTGAAAAAGTGCTAAAATAGCTAACCAGGTATAAGAGATAACGATATGTTTACTTCATTCCAATCATAATCTTTGTCTTTATCAAAGAACCAATCAATTATGAAGTTACCATTATCTGTCACCAATGGTCCCTTGAAAATAAACATGATTCAAATAAGTAAATAAAATACAATTGAGACAAATGGGTAACTTACAGCTTTCTGTTTGGCCTCTCTAAGCACAGGCTTGCCACCAAACATTTTACTGATCTTCTCAAGAACTGGTCTTTGGGCCATTGGTATAACTTCAATTGGGATGAAGTTAAACGACTGTCCAAACTTTTGCACATCCTTTCTGTAATTTGAAAAACAAAACATTATTTGTAGAAAAGTGTAATTTAACGAAAATAGCAATAAAAATTTAGTAGTGTAAGGCATTTTTGAACCTGTAATCAGCAATGATGACAACTTTCTTAGCACATGATATGACAATTTTCTCTTGAGTCAAACAGCCACCTCCTCCTTTTATAAGGTTCATATCTCCATCAACTTCATCTGCCCCGTCTATGGCCACATCTATCTGATGAATAAATAAGTAGTTTTTGACTATAACATCAACCATGTGAGTTGCAATTAAAATGAAAGTAAAATGAAAACAAAGCTGATTCACATGCCTCTGGGTTTCTGTCCAAAGTACTGATCTGTAAAGATTCAAAGGACTGCAAACTTCTCAGTGCCTTGATAACATATCATTAGTATATATGTTATATTAATAGTATATACTGCATATATGTTTATCTTAACTAATAAAATTGAACAACAAATTATAAAAAATTTAATAAATCTTTTTTGAATACTTGGTAAGATGAAGGAATGCATATAGTTTTCAAATTTTCATTGATGACTCTTTCATCTAGAAAGATTTTATTAAACATTGAATATTAAAAAAAAAATCAACAATATTTCAGTTGACAAAGAACAATCAAGGCAAACATACATACTTAATCGTCTGATAGCGTATTCAATTGTGGACCCACTGCCAATGCCGACTACTTGATTGTCCTGCATGTCAAAATATAATAAAACAAATATTTTAAATATGAATTAAGCCAAATATTATGCCTATTGTTTTTAAACTTATATGTAAAGTAAAATGGCTTGCAACTAATGTTAAGTTCTCTACGAAAATTAATAATTAAATGTCATTGATAAAATGATCTGAGATAAATTTTTTTAGAATATGAAAAATTCAAACATTCAAAGATTAAAACAAATTATTTACAGAAATTATTGGCAGTGACTCTCATACTATGGTCATACTATGACCATTGAGCACCAAACTAAAACAAACCAGCCTCCTACAATTTGTATAAGCACAACTACAGTACAGTAGCTACATATTTCTTCAATGTTTCATTATTTTTATTAATTATGATGCTACAACTTATATTACGCAAATTTTAATAAAAAAAAATATTGATCTTGGTTAGATGAAAATTAAAATGCTAAATTAAATTAATTCAATTAATTTTCAATGAATTACATTACAACTCAATATCAAATTCTGCCACACAACACATGGTGAACATGTGCCCTACCTTTATTTTTATCATGATCCAACGACAATTTTCGGCTTGACTACGGACACATGCATCATCATTAGTTACAAAATAGATCTTAAACATCAAAAACAACGAAAACCTACCGTCACGAATTCATCAACGGCAGCAAAAGCGGCCGCCTTTTTCGCTTTTTCTAGCAATTCAACTTTATCGCCCATTGTTTCAGTGAAATTTTCTTGAAACAATATTTTAAACAAAAATCTGCAAATGATGGAAAGCCAATTAAAGTTTGAAAAGCGGCAAAAAATTATATATTGTATATACCCATTGAATTATATATAATTCCATATAATTAATATATTATATGTTATATAATATATTAATATGTTATATAATTCCATGTATATACCACATAACTAAAATAAATATAACGGCCTTCGCTCACTTTTAACGGTCGAACAAGGAGCTTACTTCTTTCCGGAAAAGATTTGGAGGGTGATTTATTATCGTTCGAGTCAAGAGTCAGGCTATTTGACATGCTTGGATTATTCAATTGGCTTACGAAATTGCATGGATTTTAACGAGCAAGCTATATGAAATATTTACTTGACTTAATATGCTTAAAACATTGTAGTAATTCTCTTTAATTTTATTAAATAAAATTATGATTTTATTAAATAAAATTATGTATTATTAAATTATTGTTGTTAATTTGAATATAAAAATTATACTTTTGGTCCAGTGAAATCCGGTGGCTTTTTAGTGAAGCCGAAGGTTGGCTTTGTAGGATTGAACTAAAGTCACCCTTTTTTACACTATTCGATCATGTTAAAAATTTGTTTGCTCATGAAATAAACGGCCTAAATAGATCAAAATTGTTATTTGAACAACTATCTTCATTATATTCAATGAATATTTTACATTCTGCTGGTGCTCATAGAAATTATGGTTGCTGAAATCATACGTTGGCTTACTGCAGTGGCTTACTGGGTCTCATACAAAAGTGTCATGGGGGTTTTCTTTACATATAATGCTTTAAATAAGTCAATATATTCATTTCACAATTATTTTTGTTAATATAAATAAAGAAATTGCTTTTGTCTGGTAAAATACAGTGGCCAAGTAAAGCCGTATGTTGGCTTAATCGGATTTTTTTTTCATATATACAATACTATGAGATCAATCAACCAATCAATCAATCAACCAACCAACCATTCATTCAATCAACTAATCAACCAACCAATCGACCAATCAATCAACCATATTTGAAAAATATTTGCAAGGCTTGTTCAAACTCGAACAAACACTTAAATGTACAGATCTACAAACAATTTCGAGATTTTAGTAAAGAAAGAAAAACACAATAGTTGCTTTTATTAAATCAAGAAATATCCAAAAATTATATAACCAAATTAAAAAAACTAGAAACCAGTCAACATTTAATAAATAATTAAATAAATAAATAGACATTATTAAAAAGATTGTTCAAAAGGTAAAATTTAAGGTGACGACGAGAATAAAATGTAGTTTGTTTTGTTGGTGTGGGGCTGTGAAGCGAAAACAAACACATCACAAAAAACTAGTAAAAAGTCGCAAGAATAGTATTCAGTCACTTACCTACAATCAAATTACTCTCAGGGCCCTAGCTTACTTATAATCATTAACTCAACTCACTTACCTACAAATTTGTATTTCTATGTTTTAGGAATTTTACACGTTTCAGGTATTTTATTTTACATATTCTAGCGTTTTTATTTTACTAGAAACTTTTTAACAAATATTAAGTCCTAGCCTACCTACGATTGTTCAACTCATCTCAATCCCTAACTTACCTATGAATAAAATTAAGTCCGGTAAAGAAAAGTTGAAGAGAAGCATAACAACGACACCGAATGAATGGATGTTGTGTATGTGTGTGTTGTATTGATGTATGTGCGTAAATGTGCGCGCGTGTACTCTCCAGAAACTTCTTATTGTCATCTTCGAATTGTCATCGGAACGATCATCATGGGACCATCATCTGAAACGTACTGACGCCCACCACAACCCACCATTCTGTAGTCAAATTTTTTTATTAGCCTAGTAATGAATGAATGTTAGAATCTTAAAAGAAAAAAATTATAAAATGAAAATAATGGCAAATAAATAATATTTTAAAATAATAAAGAGAGTAAAATGTAAAAAAAAATTTACTTTCGTCCGTTCGACAAAGGCAGAATGTTGAATGCCTGAGTGAGTCAAGAGTCAATGAATTAATTAATGATTCAATGATTAAAAAAAATAAATTAATGGAAAAATAATTTGAAAGATTGAGTGATAAAATGAATGAATGAATCAATGAATCAATCAATCAATCAATCAATCAACCAATCAATCAATCAATGAGAAAAATTAAAAAACGAAACTATTAAACCTTAGTTCAAAAATCGTCGTTACTGTACTTCATTGCACCGACCGCCATCATCTGGTCGGCACACATGATTTCATCCGAACTTCTGATTGTCAGTCGAACAGCCAACGCGCTGATTCTTCCTACAACACCATCATCATACGTAAATCATCATGAGACAACCATCTGAAACGTGCTGACTCCCACCACTGCCCACCTCTCATCATCCTGTAGACAAATTTTGTTTAAAGTAAATGAATGTTAGAATTTTAGAAGCAAAAAAGTATAAAGTAAAAATAGTGGGAAATAAATAATATCTTAAAATAATAAAGAGAGTAAAATGTAAAAAATTACCGTCGTCCATTCCACAAAGGCAGAATGATGAATGCCTTCCGGTTCCTACATTGTCCTTCATAACTGGTGCCAGTCTTCCTCGAGATTGTTGTTGAAACACAACCCGTGGGATGGAGAAAGATAAAGAGAATATTCTCATCAGAAAGCTTAGCGGTGCCTGCGTCTCAAATTGCTTAATAAAAATAATCCTATCTACCTATTCAATTACCTTAACTAATCTATATTAAATTGTTAATGGTACGATAGTCGAAAGTCCCCCTTCATTCTCCCTCCTTTGCACAGAGGTTCACCGACAGCCAGGGCACCGGATAGTAAACCATTGCCGTGCGGATAGTAGACTATTGCTGTGCGGATAGTAAACCATTTGCCGTCCGGAAGCCGTGCGGGTAGTAGACTATGGCCATGCCGCATAGTAAATCATTACCGTGCAGATAGTAAACCATTGCCGTCCGGATAGTAAACCATTGCCGGTTCACCACTGGCCACCAAGGCTTACCTCTGACAACGGACTTTGAAATTCAGAGTCTATCAGCTATCGTACCCTCAACTTACCTATTCATTACAATTAAGCCCTAGCTTACCTAAAATTACAAAACTCAAGAGCCCAATTCATTGGCCTTTCGGCACCCACCCCACCACCTACGTAATGCCTTGGGCTCCAACTTAGTAATAATAATATAAAACTTAAACCCTAAATCTATTAATGAGTATGTGTTACAACGTAGCCTTAACTTACCTATTCATTACATTATGGCCTTAGCTTACCTAAAATTACAAAACTCAAGAGCCCAATTCATTGGCCTTTCGGCACCCACCCCACCACCTACGTAATGCCTTGGGCTCCGACATAATAATAATAATATAAAACTTATAATTAACCTACCTATCGATACACATACAGCGTTTTAATTTACATTACAAGATTGTTCCTAGAATTACATTATTGCCCTTAACTACCTATGAAATTAAATTATTCTCAACCTTAGTAATAATAAATTAGAATGTGTATTGAAAATAAAATTACGCTCAAATACTAATATATGTGTTTATGTATGCAATTGTGTGTGTGTGTGTGTAATACGCTAATGCGTGTAATGTACATGCGAGAAAAAATAGAAGCGATAAACTTACGCGCCTACCTACATTAGTGTTGGATGTTTCCTATCTATCCTACCTACAATTAAAATTATGCTTATCTAACCTACCTATATAGCTATTTAATGTAATTGTGTGTGTGTGTGCGCGCGTGTGAGCATTCTTACTTATTGTTAAATTACAGAGAAAAAAGAATAAAACGTATCCCAGCCAGGCATGCGTTCTTTGACTCTGAATGAATGAACGTAGCCTGACATCTTCCATGATGAACTCCTCTAGAAGCTTCAGCCTGAATGAAATGAATGAAATAAAAAAATCTTAATTAATTTAAATGAAAATAGAGAAACGAACCGCGGTGAAACCCGCCAGCCGGAAAAGCCAGCCAATTGGCAAAAAGAGAAACCGCAAAGAAACCGTAAAACGAACCCCAGCCAGGCGTGCATTCTTTGACACTGAATGAACGAACGTAGCGTGACATCACAACCATTCTGATCTTCCACGATGAACTCCTCCGGAAGCTTCAACCTGAATGAATGAACCTGAAAGAACCTAAATGAACGGACAAATCTTATTTATTTAATTAATTTAAATGAAAATAGAGAAACACAAAGAAGCCGACCGGTCGGCAAAGAAAAGAACCGCAATGAACGGTATCTATATAGGATTTATGCTCTATATAACTCTATATAACTCTATATAACTCTATATAACTCTATATAACTCTATATAACTCTATATAACTCTATATAACTCTATATAACTCTATATAACTCTATATAACTCTATATAACTCTATATAACTCTATATAACTCTATATAACTCTATATAACTCTATATAACTCTATATAACTCTATATAACTCTATATAACTCTATATAACTCTATATAACTCTATATAACTCTATATAACTCTATATAACTCTATATAACTCTATATAACTCTATATAACTCTATATAACTCTATATAACTCTATATAACCTAGCATACTTCCACATTCAATCAATAAAAATCTCACTGAAACCTGAAACCACCGCGTACCTGTTATATGTATGGTGTGAAACATAACAAAAAAAACAAAAAACACACCACAAAGTAAAGTAAAAGAATAGAAGTCCCTAACCTACCTATGTAACTAAATTACCTTATGCCCTAGCCTACCTATATAATAAATTAATTTTAATCTCACCTACCTATGTTTCATTAACTTAACTCAAGACTCATGAAGGAAGAGAAAAAAGAGTAAAACAGAACATAAAATACTACCACACAAACAAACGTGATGTATGCATGTATGTATGTATTAGCAACCGCTAAAGAACCCACCTAAAATATAAAAAATACATCATACAAACCACAGACATGCAAACTCTACATAACTCTATATAATATAACTCTATATAACTCTATATAATAAAATAAATAAAAATAAATAAATTATAAAAATAAAATAAATGAGATCAGACAGACTGCTTCAAGCGAGGAAGAATGCCTGATCTGATTTTCATGTTGTTTCAGCTCCTATTTATACTCGTTTCAACCATACATTTTCATCATTTCAATCATTCACATCAGTAAAAAACATATTTAATGTATGTAGTACGCTATTGTACAGTCTTAACCACAATGCTAACCGTACTAAATTGACGTCATCGAACGAACGCCTTCGAAACTTTCTGATTGGCTGGTTGAATCTGCTATATTGCTTTTTGGATTTGTTAAATCTTGTTAAATATTTGTATACATGGATTCTAGTTACTCTATATTATATATATATATATATATATATATATATATATATATATATTATATAAATTCATAATAAAAGCAGCAGTAATCAATGCTACATATGTAGGCACGCAGTTCAAATTTTTCGGGGAGAATTCAAAATAGTTTGAGACCACACCTTGCTTAACATCCAATTCCAAGCCGAGCCAAGCCAAGCTGAGCTAATATGCGTAGATTTATAAGCGCTTTTCTATTAAAATTTTGCTAGCTTTATATATATAGTATATAAATTCATTATTGAAGCAACAGTAATCAGTGCTACATATGTGCGCACGCAGTTCAAATTTTTCTGAGAATTCCAAATTGTTTGAGACCACACCTAGCTTAACATCCAATTTCAAGACGAGCCAAGCCAAGCTGAGTCAATATGCATAGATTTATAAGCGCTTTTATATTAAACTTTTGCTCGCTTTATATACGAATATCCCAATATAACAAATTTTCCATCCTATTTTAAAAGTTTTCATTGATGCTTTTTAATCAGTCAGGTCAAAATCATCATCATCGATACCGCGGTGAAATCAAATTGAAAATTTTTTAATAATTGTTGATAAAAGTAACATATACATATATATATATATATATATATAGTAAAAGGTTTAAATTTTTCCGAGAGAATTCAAAATAATGTGAAACTACACAATTGTACAATTTGAATGTGTAAATACAATATTATAAATGTATTATAACTACGTATATATATGTATATATATATATATTTCTTTATTTAGTTTTGCCTGCGTATGATATTTGGTTAAATTTATTTGATAGGAATTGAATATAACCTTTATACAGGCTGATCAACTACAATCTAGTAAAATTACTACTGTTAACATGACGTCATTTCCCCCAACGTTTTCTCAACGATATACCCATCCTATTTTATAAATTTTATTTGATGTTTTTTAATTAGTCAGGTCACAATCATCATCATCATCGATATCGCAGTGAAATCAAATTGAGAATTTTTTAAATTAAAAAAAAGTATCTTTATTCATTTTATGATACTATTTTGTTCAATAAGATACTGTTTGATACATATAAGTAGAATAAATAGAACGGCCTTCGCTCACGTTCAACGGTTAAACAAGGAGCTTACTTCTGGATGGGAGATGGAGGATGATTTCTTATCGTTCGAGTCAAAAGTTACGATAGTATATTAACTAATTACGGAATATTGCTTTTATTTAAAATGTTAAAATTTAATTTTTTTAAATTGTTAGCCAATATGGTAGACGACGTTCCAAAGATTAGCTCCATTTTGAAAATGCGAGTTTGAGCTCTAATCGTTACTTTTCCGGGCAAGGGTTCAGAGACGGTGCACCACGCATAGTACGTATTTTAAGTTTTCTTCGGAGAGTCAGCATAAAAATGTAAATGTAGAACTACTTATTGCAGCTGGTAGCTTTCACCACCTCACTGGCATTACCCGAGTATGCTATAGTATACTCATCAAATTCGCCCCTTTTACATTAGCCTTTTATTTTCGCTATTTTTTTATTTATATGCAAAATTTTATAACAATTGAAAAAATAGAATTAACAAAAAGACATTCATCATTTAAAAGCATAATTTTTCATAATCATTCTCGTCTTCTCGTTATTTATTCCCAAACCAGCTAAATGCTGATAAAATGCCGGTTTCTCGATTTGAATGCAAAGATTGTTGAAGCCAATATCTTTGAACATTGCCGTAATCTGAAATAAAAAATGTTAATAGTCTTATTAAAAAATAGTAAAATACAAATAGTGGCCTTTAAATGTTCATTTCACAATAATTTTTAACCTTATGTACAATCTTTTGCTCCGCAACATCGGGCTTGACTTGAATGTGAATTGTGCCACAAAGCACGGAAGCAGAATGTCTCCAGAACCTTTCATCACTGTAACTTACCACCTCATCCATCGTGTTCAACTTTTAATCAAAGCATATATATGTATGTGTATATAGTATATATATATATATATATATATATATATATATATATTCAAAAAAAACTCATATATATATATATATATATATATATATATATATATATATATATATATATATATATATATATATGAGTAACTACAAATAAATATACCATGAAGGTAAATATTGATTTAAAATTAGTACATTATAAAGGAATAAACTTAGAATAAAGTTAAAACGAAAAAATTACTTTTTGCAAAACTGATGCCAAATTTCTCATAGACTCATCGGGTGTCTTCAAAATCAAAATTTTTGCCGTTTCTTTAACAAGAGGTAGGACGCTAACAAAAATGAGAAGTGAAATGAAGACGGAACACAGAGGATCAGCTATCCTCCAGCCAAATGTCTGAATGAGGATGGTAGATATAATCACTCCTACACTGCCAAGGGTGTCGGCTAATATGTGCAGAAATACTCCTAGGTGATCGAGCAACATATAAAACTTGAATAAATATTCGACATATTAAATTACTTTGTAAATTATTTCCAAGCAAAATTAAAAAATTCTTAATAGAAGTAAAAACCTTCCATGTTTGTATTGTGTACAGTGTGACTTGAAGGTGACTCGGACGAACATTCTGAATGGCTGTGACCTCCGTGTGAGTGACTGTGACCTCCGTGTGAGTGACCGTGACCTTAACAATTTTCAAAAAAGATGTACTTTATAAAATATAAATTAACTCTTTGAGTAACCTGAATATCTTTGAAAATCTTGATGCTATATGTAAAGGTTGTTTTTTGACTCACTTGAGTGCGAATGTGAATGAGGACGCTCCTGGTGATGTGGATGGCTGCCAGGACTAGATGAACTATGACAGGGAGTTCCACCGTGTGAGTGTGTGTGCCTAAATGCCACAATCCCAACCAGATTGACACAGAAACCCGCTACGGAGACAAACTGTCAAAAATTGCTGCGATGAACTTATTTTGCTATCATGTTATATAAACTACATACCAATATCTATTGCTCTAATTATTCAATTAGTTCAGAGTAAATAGTTGAACTGAAAATATTTAAAAAACTATGAAAAAGATCATTATACCCTGAAGAAAATGTACTAGTTTGCCAAACCAGAAAAAGCAAACTCACAAGTAACTTATCAGTTTTAATGTCCGGCGGATCGAGCAGACGAGACAAGGCAGCAATGAAAACAAAGAAAGCAATGACCATTAAGAACAATCCGTTGATGAATCCAGATAAGATTTCAACTCTGTCGTACCTGTCCGATATTTCAAAGCAATAGCCAAACTATTAAAAGTGAAGTTGGAAAAAATTAATTTTTTTTACTTTGACTTATAAAACACGCATTAACCTAACAAACCAAAAATTCAACTAATAAATCAAAAATCTAAATGAACTTATAGTCTACCAATTGGTTCTATGTTTACTACAAATTAGCATAGATTTTTATTCAGCTAAAGTTAATACAAATAAACTATCCAACTTTTTAGAAACATTTTAATTCGTCGCATGTATTTAATTTAAAAAAGAAAGTTTGTAGAATGTGGAGCGAATCAGAAAATGGATAAGATGATCAGTCATTATTATCAGCACTAACAACGACCAACCCAAATGAAAATATTCTTGTGGCCTTCCAGTGGCTCATAACAGCAGCGTACAAGCCCATCACGAGAGCTGAGCAGTCGAAGAACATGTGAAAGCCATCTGATATAAGGCCCAGGCTGTTTGTCCAGACCCCGTAAGCCAATTCAACAAATGTAAATGACTGCATATAATGAAATAATGAATTCAAACACAAAAAATAACAATTAATCTAATATTGTTAAAACGTATTAAAATGATCCAAATGAAATTCGCAACGGAAAAATATACAAGAGCTAACAAGATTGACACATAGATAGTAAAATATTTTCCTAGAATCAGATTCCTCGAGTATCTTGTGTAGAACGTTCTTAGCAATGATGAAGAAGGAATGAGATGTTCGGTGGAGAGCATCGCCAGCATAACTGTAAAGTGGACCACCCGCCCAGTAACCCACCAGACTGCCTCGACTTCGTTTCGACGGTTTCGTTAATATGTACAATGCTGCAGACAAGTAGGGTTAAAAAAACATTACAAATTTAAATTGTACCAAAGATGTACGTCTCAGGAATGATCAAAAATATATGACGATAATTCACAAGAGCAAACTGACCATAGGCAAAAAATATGACACTTAGAATGACTCCAATAGAGAGTTGATGTTCGTGTTGAACGAGCATGCTTTCGACATTTGCATTGATGTTGCTGTAGACGTTTGCAACGTAGGGATGATCCCACAACGATGCAATGACAACCGCTCCAACCAGAACAACGCAACTCGATATCTGAATCGTTTTTGTGGACTCCAGTTTTGTGAGACAGATTGCCTCGACATAATAGTCAATGACCACAACTGATAATGATACAAAAATTAGCGGCAAAAGAATGGACGACCACGAGACAGAGATGACCTGCATGCATGAGTAAAAAAAAAATAAAATAAGTAGGTACAATAAATTTGAAATGCACTACAAACCTCGTCTGTATATGTGACCAAGAGGAACCATGGAAGAAGTATAACAGATGAGATGAGAGTTGAAATGGCGTTCATCTTCTTTGAACCTTCAATATCCAGTGATAAGCTTTTAGAGGCCACATTGTAGCAGACAGATGAACACAAAGTTATGGCCATCAGTATTACACCCCCCTGTCATTAAAGTATATTTACATTTTAAATATTTGAGAAACAAATCCCTATTTATATTTATACTATTTTTGCTTTTAATTAAAATAACTGCAAAAACACTTATCAATCAAAAGACAAGCACAGGCATAAAAAAGTGTTTCGTATATATTGCTAGTTAGAATAAGTATTAACAATGCAAACCTTGTGGTCTGAGAGGCCGGTGAGGTTGATGACGTGGTCGATGAGATGCGTCATGAAACTTTCGTGTCGGTCTTTCAGTGAGGTGGAAGAGGAGGAGGAGGGACCTTCAAGAGGTGCACATCCAATCATTTCATCAGTGTCCATTGTCCAAATGTTTGTGCACATTGGATGCATCAAATACAACATCACAGACGTTAAAGAAATCAGTAGAGTACAAAAGTATTTCCCTTTGGCTATATTTTCATAAAATTATATAAAAAAAATATTTAGAACATTCTGATTCTACTAGTTACATAACTGTTAAACATTATGTTTGAACGTGACAGTCTGCTTCTCTCAGGCATTCTATGAAACTGATATTTAATTATATTTGCAAAACAAAATAATTAATAAGGGCAGAGAGAACAAACAGCAAATAATGCCAAAAGATATAATTAGAATGGTGGTGCTGTAAGTTTTCCTTTTCCAGATCATGATCCAGTAACATGATGCAGAGGAATGCCAGAATGAACATGATGGCTCCACGTGTCTGTAAGTCAAAATGACAAGTTGAACGTTGTAATTTTTGATCATCAACATCGTTTAAAAATTAGTTCTATTCCTACAGTTACTACAACTGTTAATTTGTTACTTCATAAACCATTATCCTATATCGTCATCAATTGAATAATATAGTAGGATTTGAGAATTTGAAACTTTGGGTACTTGAAAGCATGAGGTATATATTGTAGAGCAAGCAATACAATGTTAGGCTAAAATAAAAAGCAAGTATTTATTTGTGAGAGTCTGGTGCGTTGGTTCATAACAGAAATTTGAAGATATAATTTTTTTCAATCACATTTGTAAATAAAATCAATGTTTACACATTCAAAATTATTGCTGGAACTGAAAACTTTAATCTAAACAAAAGTGATACCATATCTTACCATATCTATATAAATATAACATGGTATACAATTTCATAAACTTCAAAAAAGCTTTTGACAGAAATTGGCTTAACTGTGCTAGGCAATGGCAGGTGAATAAATTTATTAAGATATTTAATGTCATATTTTTTCGTGTTAACAGAAACTCTTTGTATAATACAGAACAGCCAATTAAAAAAATTTCAAGACAAACATGAAATTATTGCAAGAAAGATTCATTTCCAGTTCTTTTTAATGTTTCAGGAACATGTCATAATGAAAGCTCTGAAAGGATTATACTCCTACTATATTATACTCCTAGCTTTACTTTAATATATACACTAGGGTGGTTACAACGCTATATGTAAAAAAAAAAATTTCGAAATCTTATCGGGGGAACCTCCTAAATTGTGCCACTTGACTAAAAAATGACATTTGTAAAGTTTTAGCTCAATTGGATAATGCTAACCCGTGCCTCATCAAGGTTGAAATTTCGAAAAATTGGAAAATTTTGAAAAAGAACGCAGTTTTTGGTTTGTAAAATGAAAACGGTTCACTCTAGAAACATGATTTAAGTTTTATTTTGTTCATTGATTAGTTTTCTTCAAATGTTACTATGATCACTATTTAGCTACAAGTTATAGTTTCTGACATATTTGCATTGTTACAGATACACATTGAAAAAACGTTGAATTTTTCCATAACACAAAAACACACAATAACTTAATTTGTTTATAAAGAAATGTTTTTCAAATAACACCGTTGTATCTAAATCATTATTATT